ACAGAACACAAATATGAAACTGGAGTCTACGTGAAAATTATTTGACCACCTACGACCTCCAGGGATGTTGTTGCGTCAGCGAGTGTTCCTGTGTTGATTCGGGGTCGACTGCGCCGGTAAGTAGGCCTTCGGCGTCAGGGAAGGGGGCAATGTGATACGTGTCCCTCTAAGGGCCTTCGGATCTACCAGGGGATCTTGCCCCGTTTCGCCAGAATGACAACCGGAAAACATCCCTCGATGGGACAGGTTGGCCATTCAGCCCGTGGCCAGGAACAGTGACGTGCTCCTGGCGTTTTATTCCAGGGGCTCAGGGGTTCATTACTGTTAAACAGAGTGGGTTGAAATGAGCCGAAAAAGATCAGGGCCATTCCATATTTTTCCTGAGAACGTTTAATCTTTTGCGAGATCGATAAGTGAAGCAAATTGCATCAAAAGGTATGAACGTGCGTACCCGCAATCTCGAAAGCAAGGACAGCAATGGCCTCGGTTTCAGCTTCCGTAAAAGCTAACGGCCTTGGCCACTGCAAGTGATACTAGGCGACGAGCGCCGTGTTAATCTGTCCTCTGAACAGATTAAAAATTACAGGAAAACGGAAAACAGCGAGTGTACTTCTACTCTTCCAGTTCCAGCGCCAGTTCCAGCACCACTGTGTGGTGTTGTACGGGACAATCCGTTCTTATCATAAATCTAAAAATCGCACAGGTGGATTATGCGCTCAGCCTACCTCCTAAATATAAACGCTGATGTCCCAAAGCGTTCAAATGCAATTCTTTCAGAACCATCATCATTTTCGTTCACCTGTTGGCCCGCGGCTCAGTGTTAGCCGTTGGGCCGACGCTGCGCCGCCTATGGAGGCTGCAACGTCTGGCATTGAAATTGTTTAGTTGCGAAGATTTGCGAGCGCCCATGTTCAAGACTACGCTACATAATCTGCACCACCTATCGATTCTGACTGAATGTTAAAGGTTTCCAGACATACATGGCTTAGCCATGTCGATACAAAGTGTCGACCCATTTTGACCTACAGTCTACCTCTGCGATATGCCGAATGTGACTGTGGGATCCATATAAGATATTCTGACAGAGCTTCTGAGTTTTATTAGTTCAGAATGTCCACTGATTTCTTTAGAAATAAAGAGCACCGGTAATTTATTCCATGCAGTCGCTCAACCCCTCATTTCTGCGATTTATTGACTTGAAAACACAAACAGAATTGATCAAGCGGTAGCTTCTGGTTTTTGCTTCTCTGGTGACAAGGCAAAAATAACAGTAAAACGACGGTGACCATACCCCTTGTTAACAAGCAAGCTATATCTGATGACTTTCTAGGGGGAGGGTCACTATCCGGGAGGCCGTTTATCAACCAAACCCCTCCTCTGGAAAGTATCTGGCTACGCCCCTGCCTACACACAAGAGTAGGCCAAGTCATCTACTTTGAATGATGGGCAATTAAATGTCCGTTGGGGTAATTCATACCTAAAGCAGGCAGCTCATCCGAGGTCTTTTCTGCTGTGATGTGGTGTAAAGGAAGATGACTCTGAAAAAGATGCTGTTGCTGGCGTCCGCTATATGCTTTACTCACAAATGACTAGAAATGCTGATCTATAAACATGCAACAAAGCAGTCATGCTATCAGTTCGCGGTCAATTATGCGGGATAGCTGGGCCAGGGCAGTGGCTGTCGACGGCGGACGGAAGTAAGGCTCAGATAAGGAATATATGTCAGAGGGTCCTTTTTTCTGCGACTTGGCTTTTTATAAGAGAAGATCCAGTTCTATGGCTTTTGTCACATTGCTTTTGGCTGTTAGTAGTTGAAGCTTCCGAATTAATTCCACCTAAAACGCTGCGAGAAATCTTTCATTCCAAAAACATAATCTAAATATCATGGCACATGAAAACTCTGGCGTACTATGGGCCTTCAATTCGCAATCAACATTCTGGCCAGTCTGTATCCAGGTGGTGCCATAGCACCTACCCTACAGCGGCAGATGCCTCCCCAATGAGCCAGAACGCGCACCCGTTCGTGTAATTTCGCCCCCCCCCCCCCCCCTCAAGGAAACCAATATCGAAATGGACAAGCTATTTGACAAATGATGGCGATGAGTCGAAACGAAAGCATTGTGCACCAATGGGAAACAGCTGTAGACACACACACACACACACACACACACACACACACACACACACACATATATATATATATATATATATATATATATATATATATATATATATATATATATGTGTATATATATTATAGTAACCATGACAGTTATGGTTTCCCAAAATGTATTATGTGAATTAAGACCGGACAATAATATTTGCCTTCACCTCTCCCCGCCCCTTCTTCGGTCATCGGGCTTGCTTCCGAATAAAAATTCCTGAATTATATCCTGAGCCTGCCCCCTTCCCACTTTTTGAAACGTTTTTGTACATCTATGATCCCGGAAATAGCGTTAGGACCTCTGGAAAGCGTAATGAGGCTTAAAATCTCTCTATCGGCGAAGAACAATTATTGTCCTATCGCGAGTCCTTTACTTTCGTTTGCGCCTGTTATTGGTCGCCTTGAAACTCAAAGAGGTCCAATTGTGTGTTGTGTGTTGCGTGTTGTGTTAAACACTGCATCTGTTCGGCTGGTTACGGGCCCTTCGCCCCAAGGGGACCATGGCCCTGTGCCCTCCCCCCCCCCCCCTCTGGATCCGCCTTTGGCTGTCACTGGTGCTGACAAACGTGCGAACAACAGATTTAACGCAACCGTACACGCGCCACGCGCAGGCTCTCCCATAAGTTGGGTTCCCATATTTTTTTGTGTAGGATGGTAACGTCGCTAGTGTATAGACCTAAATGGGCCGCGGTCGCTAGCCGTGGGGTGTAACGCTGCGAGACATCCGGGACATCGGAATTCTTGTACAGTTAACGGAAAAACTGTTAGCGGGAGGTGTATATAACCAACGAACCATTAACACAAAATTCAGTGATGAGCGTTGTGATGGGAAATCTTCATCTGGTGCGCGTCGGAAGCGGCGAAGTGGGCGCAATGGGAGAGGAACGCCGCGAACGTTTTGCTGGAGCAGTGTCGGGACGGTGAGGGGCGCGTAGCTTGGAGGACAGGGTTCTTAACTATGTACGCTGTTGGAGGACAGTACAAATGGCGTGCTGTGTGGCTCAAATACATAACTTTCTGACGTCCGCTAGCTGCATCTCACAAGCATGATGGCTCACATGGCTCACATCTCACATCCCATGGCATCTCACATGGCCCCCGACAAGGGTGGTGCCAAGGGACCCGGCAGGGAGGCGAGCGCAAAGGAAAGATTAAAGAAGAGCGATTCTGGGCCGCCGGCGGCGGTGGCGGCGACGGAGGCTGCGGATGTTACTGACCATTGCCGCACGGCCGAGCTGCTGTTGTGCCTCTCGGCCGTGCGGTGTGTACTGGGCCAAATGCGGCCTCGACACGACGCCCTGATATGTAACAACTGGGTCTTCCTGTACAAGGCGGTCATGCTGTACAAGGCGGTCTGTACAAGGCGGTCATGCTGTACAAGGCGGTCTGTACAAGGCGGTCTGTACCGCCGTGCTGTACAAGGCGGTCATGCTGCTCGTCACATTCCCAATCATCAACCTGCAAATCGTTCGCTTCGTCGACAGCTGCCTGGCTAAAGCACTCGCGGCACATTGGACCGGTGTCCATGCTTGAAATTCTATTTTCAGTCTGGGGCAGAGCTATCTGCCAAGGCGTCCAGACTCCCTCATCGTAAATATGACGAGAGCTTCACGACATCGGTGACCATTGGCTGGTTTAACTTTAATAACTGTTATCCATGATCCAGTCTCACGTAGGCCCGCGAGCTGCTCATGAGACTTGGTGCACATGACGGTCTGCGTTTACATCTTGGCGGCCGATGAGTGGCCGTGGCCAAACAAACTGTGCTCAGGGGTGGAATAAATAAGATCATTGGAGCACACTGTTACTAGATTGAAATAAACATATTAATCAGTTGTGCAGTTAATGTTGTTTCGACTCAAGTATCACATACAAATCGTCCTCTTTACCTCGGTTTGACGATCAATAATTTTCTCGCATGTCAATTTAACGTTAAACATAACAACGCACATAAACGTCTCAAAAACGCAACATGTGTGGCTCGACACTCAGACTACGCAGACAGTCAGGTGCCGTGCCGTCAGGTGACTACGCAGACAGTCAGGTGCCGTGCCGTCAGGTGACCACGCAGACAGTCAGGTGCCGAGCACTGTCGACCCCGCGCACAGGTACGACTACGGACCGATCACAGCCGGCCTCGCAGACAGATGCAGACCGAGCACGCCTGAGTATAGTAAGGTGCGGATCGAGCACGGCCGGCCCCGTACACAGGTAAAGATCGAGGACGGCGTAATGTAGATAAGTACAGACCGAACATGACACATCTGGCGGGCTCTTCGAGCATCAAAGACAACAAAATTAAGTGCAGCAGCCCAGACTCACCACGCTCACCACTCGCTCGCATCGCCCGCGGCGGCATGCCCACGTCCAGGATGCGAGGCCATGTAAGACCGAAATGCATTGTTATGGCTTGCCGCTTAACGCTGCCACGTACGTCATCATGCTCAACGCCAATTTCCATGCATTTAAAAACGTTGTTCATGTACATTTGCCATTACCATTAGGTTCGTTACCGGAACACAATGTTCTGGCCGCCATATTGCGAATCAGTATCATGTACGCTTCTTCATTTTTCAGGTCATTGTATGTTAATGGTTTACCGCATATGCTTGCAAAGGAAATCATCATGTGTGTCGTAAGATTATGCTGTCTTTTTCATCATCTGAACGAATATTTTGATGTGCCGGGCTGCTAGCTGCCCCTCAATAGTATGCCGGCGCTTAACCATCCGCAGCGTGTTAAAGTCTTGGCCCCAGTGACGTCATTCTTACGTTGAGTCAGGATACGACGACAATAACGGACGTTTCCACCCATGTTATACGGCCTTGATCTTGAGTGCAATATCGCATTCGCGGGGTACGTGCGCGGTTTCCGCACATGTAAGTGGGATAGTTTATTTCGGATGAGATCGATGGATATGACGTGAATTTGCGTTTGAGTTTGTGCAATTTTTGTCCAAGTTGGTATTGCAGTGGTGGGGAAATAGGGGTGCTTGGCCATGGTTTGCGGCAGTAATGAGCGCCACAATTGTAGTAATTATCTCGCAGGCGGCGACAGCCACATAGTACTTATGGAATGCATAGCAATAGGCATGGGTAAATTGGTATTATGTTCACAGCTTGGTTTAAATATGTGGCTTGGCCACCCCTTAGACCAGTATTTTCATTTTCATCATAAGTCACTCCTGACAGGTAGTCTAAAGGACATTGGGCCTGTTCCTGCCACTCCTCTACCCTCCTCAAACCTGTGTTGAGCAAATCTGATAGTTCTTGTGTCCCATCCAACATCCTCTGAGCTCCTAAAAGCTTGCTGCTAGCCTGCGCCAACCTTCACCAAAATGGAAGGTGGTTTTCAGAGTAGTTTGAAAGAGGCTGTGTTAGGCATGAATAACACAGCCTATTCCTGTCTTATCCATTACCTTACCTTACCTTGCCTTACACTCTAGGATTTATAAAAACTGAAGCTTTTAGGTCCTGTGCTTGACAGATTCATGTCATTTCTAGCTAAGCTTGGTCTTGGATTAGCACATGGTACATTTGCAGGCCCTGTGATAATCAAGCCTGGACTGAGAGATTGAGATTGTTTTCTATAAGGGCAGGAAACAAAGAAGATTCAACTAAGCTTGGAGCCAAGGTCAATACCCAAGCACCAGTGGTAGTGTAAGTCACCAGCAAAAACCAGGCCAGTGCAGGTGAACAAAATTCAACATTACCTGAATAAAATAATGAACTGGGCTTCTCTGTGGTAGATGTCAGTCAATCATGGTAGGCATAAGGTGATACATTGTGGTAGTTTTAGCAGAGAAAGCATTATCTATAAAATGGGAGGTGAGTAGTTATACCAGATCAGGTAAGAAAAGGGCTTGGGGGTTACAGTTTCTAAGGATTTAAAGAGTGGAAAACAAAGTGGGCCTGCTAGGGGCAGGACAGTTTGGATGCTGTTGTTCATTTAAGGGAATGTACATCATCTTTGTTGGTTCACATATGTTGGTTGGTTGGTTGTTGGCTGGTTCAATGAACACCTTGAGTGCAATGACTGACGTCTCTCGATGAGTTGAAACGGTACATGTAAGTTGTAGGATGGCAGTTGCACGCAACTCGTTGAGCAACACCTTAGCATCATAAGAATGTTTTGTGACAAAGTCATCAGACAGTAACAAATTCAGAAACATATTTACCAAAAAGAGACATTTTGTGGTCTAGAGCAGGGTTGTCCACTTAATTCCACCAGTTACACTCACTTCTTCCACTAGTTGTCTAGAGCAGTCTTAACCAATATCATATCTGGGCTTATTTCATCATACCTGATGCCCACTTTTATATCTTCAAATCCAGACTATTTCCTTAAAGAAGCTTTCAGAATCTGGATGGTTCCATTTTTACCATTTGACTGCATCCTTAATAAAGCTTGGAAACTGTTTCTTCTCAAACTCAACTACCTATAGATAAATGTTTCCCCATGGTTTGTATTTGAACAGCTAAGGTTGCACCATCTAAATGCTGACATGACAGGAAATCAAACAAGCATCAAGGATCAAATGAAGGTTCATCCCTTGAAATGAGACCAAACCACGGTTTTTGCAACACAACTGTTGCGTTTAAATTATGGGCTCAAAAGTAACAAAAAATACCATAATGTGCAGGTTTTCTGTTGTTATAGGCTAGCTCCATAATGCTTGTCTGTAGGTAGATTTTGGCAGTTTTGTTGGCTTTTGAGTTTGTTGTTGCTGTGTTCTTGATGATCTTGTACTTCTCACTTATGGAAGAGTCTGTTTAGGACTGTGACTAGAGTAGAGACAAACTTGTGTGTGGTAACAGATGATAAAAGATGAGGCAAGTTTTTGCTTGCTTTTAGAGCGTCACGTTTCTACCAACAGCAACCAAACCAGCAAGAAGCAAGATTGCACAGAAACACTTATTTGTCCTGCCTTGGCAGGCACCTCCAGATCTTCCAGAAAGAAGTCACCTTCATGCACGGCCTTTGCTGTGGTTGTTGTGACCGTATGGGAGCTAGCCGGCGACATGGCGCCGCCCCTTGCTGACTGGCTGCCGGCTGCCGCAGGGTGGGCGGTGCGCCGTGCCTGACCATGGACGCGGCGTCGGACGTGAGCAGCGGCAGCGGCGCCGACAGCACGGCCGACGACCAGGCCGTCTGCCGCGACTACCTGCGCAACGTTTGCCGCCGCGGCCGGCGCTGCAAGTTCCCGCACCCGGCCGGCGCCGACGACGAGCTGGCCGTGGCGCCGGTGCGGCCCGAGCTCGTCACGTTCTGCCACGACTTCCAGAACGGCCAGTGCGCGCGGCCCAGCTGCCGCTTCGTGCACTGTGAGCGCGGCGACGAGGAGCTGTTCCGCCGCACTGGCGAGCTGCCGACCCAGGTGCTCGAGGCGGCCGTCAAGCGCGGTGCCGACATCCGCGTCGGCCGGCACGAGGTGCCCGTGTGCAAGGACTTCGCGCGCGGCGAGTGCGCGCGCGGCGCCAAGTGCAAGTACCGTCACCTGACGTTGGCGGAGCTGGAGCAGCTGTGCGGCGGTGGGCGGATGGCCGAGGCGGCCGCCGACTGGCGCCGAGTCGTGCGAGCCGCCTGAGGCCAAGCGGCGACATTTTGACGACTACTCGCACCGCGGAGTGGTGGTCCGGGACTACCGGCAGGCGCCGCTCTCGCGCGAGCCCAACCCGCACTCCATCATTGACTACCGGCTGATCGAGGACGAGAACCGTATCCTGCAGCGGCGCATCCAGGAGCTGCAGAAGCAGGTGCGGCTGTGGCCAGTTCGCCGCGAAAACGGCGCCGAGCTGGGAAGCGGCGATGCTTTACATGCATGCAGGCCTTAGGATGACAGCTGAACTATGTGTGGGTGGCGGTTACTGACGAGAAGTTAGGGTACGCCTCTATCCAAGAACAAAGTCGCGGGGCTTGATGGTTTTCTGTCGCCGCATTACTGAATGAAGGTGTTGATGACATGATGGGCTCAAATGCGTATGAGTTAATGGCCTTTAATTAACCAGGAGGTACTGGTTGAAAGACGTTGTGCTAAAAAGCGATTGCATTGACGGTACCAATATTTCGAGCTGTGCCCATCTTCAATGATCATGCTTAAAGGCCACAGCCACCATTAATATAATCGTTGCGTAGCACTATAACGTGTACTAAGCAGCTCCTTCTGTTTTTTTCTAAAGTTGCTTACTCAACATAAGAACGTGGAAGCCATAATGCTGAAAAAAACAGGAGCCAAAAGCCTTTCGTTTTATATTGTGTTCATAACACGTGCTGGTCAAACCTCCCATGCGACATGAAACGGGCTTCAGTCTTTTTCGGCATGCCTCTTATGGTCTCAAAGACGCAGTACGGTACCGTGCCTGAAAGTCGTGGCTATCCCGGTGTCACCGCCGCAGGCGTTGTCCGAGTTATTATCAGCAAGACAGGCCCGGTTATGGTCATGAGATGGACTGCTTCTGGACAAGACACAACGCTGAGTGAGCCCAGAGCCTGGCACCTCAAACCCGTTCTCTGAGAAGCAATCAGTATCAGTGTCATGTCGCTGTATTTAATTAACGGGCGCCAGTCGCACGGTGTTTCGATCTTGCGCCACACGTGGTATGCCTTTTTTATGTGGTCATGCCGTAAGCGTAACAACCACGATGTACGCCGAGCACCTCACTGTACACTGTTATTTCTGGACGCTCCAGCCAGCTGCACATGTGGCGGCTGTGCGGGACGCTCGCCGTATAACCTTATTGTCGCTGGCTCTTCTGAGGCTGTTGGCCAGCACGACCGCTGGCTGGCGGCGCCACTGACAGGCGTGCCTGCCGCTGCTCAGGTGGACGACCTCACCACCACCAACGAGTTCCTGCTGGACCAGAACGCGCAGATGCGGCTGGCCAAGCAGGCGGGCGGCGGCGTGACCAGCCTGGCCACCGTCACCGTGCCGGCCGTGTCCATGGCCAGCTCGATGACCAACGGCGGCGTGCCCACGGCGCCGCTGACCATGTGCCCCATCAGCCAGCCGATGGTGGCGCAGGGCGCCGCGCCCCAGGTGGTCACTGTGCCGTGCAGCATGGGCGCCGGGCCCGTCACGCTGACGCACACGCCCGGCTCCACGGCCGCCATCGGCGTCAGCCTGGCGCCTGTCACGATCCACCAGCAGGGCGCTGTCGTCTCCATGGCGTCCATGGCGTCCATCAACCAGGCGGCCGTGGCCTCCATGGCGAACATGAACCCCATGGCGGCGGCGTCCATGGCGTCCATCAACCAGCCGGTGGCAGTGTCAATGGCATCCATGGCGTCCATCAACCAGGCCGCCGTGGCCTCCATGGCGAATATGAACCCCATGGCGGCGGCGTCCATGGCATCCATCAACCAGCCGGTAGCAGCTTCCATGGCGTCAATGGCCTCCATCAACCAGGCGGCTGCCGCCTCCATGGCTTCCATGAATAATATGGCGGCGGCCTCTATGGCCTCTATCAACCAGCCGGGTGCGGCGTCGTTGACGTCTATGAACCCGATGGCGGCTGCATCAATGGCCTCCATCAACCAGCCAGTGGCGGTGGCGTCCATGGCCTCCATTAACACGGCCGCCGCTGCCGCTGCAGCTCAGGTCAGTCTGAGGACTAGGTCACAGGTACTGGCAATAGTTTTGCGTTCTCTTGTTGCGTTTGTTGTCATGTTCTGCTGCAATAGCTGCACGCTGTCATGATTTGCAGGTGGGTCTGAAAGCGTTCTGACGTTTCAGTAGTTGCGCGTCCTTGCTCTGTAATACGAGCCAGTGTCATGCGAGGCGCGCAGCCCACGGACAAAGCAGTTGACAACGGTAAAGAAGGCTGGAATCCCTGCGGGTTTTTCTGGACCGGCTTGGAACGTCTCCCTAAACTGTCCATGCGTGCGTCTTTATGCCGCTGCATTCGGCGCTATCGAGCGGCGTTTGCGACCACGGGCAGGCATGAGTCGCAAAACAATGCTGAACTCGGTACAAGAAGTCAGGTTTGGAGACATACCGGGTGGCGGACGTTTTGTCGGACATAGCTTGTCCCCCAAAATGGCCGCCCGTCCCATGCCGTGGGACCAGAATTTGCAAACACCTCATTGTCTTCTGACCAGACCTCCGAGCTGCGCCAGCCCAGCCGTGCGTGTAAACTGTGGTGCGTCTCGTCTTCAGGTGAACGCGCAGGTGGCGTGCTCGCTGAGTGGCGGCCCGATCGTCTCCTACCCGATCGTGTCGCAGCTGCGGCCGATCCTGTCGTCCAACCTGCAGACGCAGTAGCCGCCCGACGGTGTGGCGCGGCGCGGCGCGGAGCTCCAGCCCGGCCGTCCGCTGCCGGCGCCCGGACCGCGCGCGGCCGAGCGCGGACGCGCTCACCGACAGGGACCGCCAGTGACGGGGCCAGGGGTGTCGCGGTGTGTACTGTCGGGGGAGCCTGAGCCCCCCCCCATGCTGACTTAGCCCCCCCCCCCCTCCCCCACCGCTTCCGTGAACCCCTCAATGCGTTTGAGCAAAAAGGTAATATTGAATTGGAGAAACGGAGACAATTTATCTTAATTATTGGGGTTTGGTTACTAAGATGATTTCTGTGAATTCACCCATTGTAAGCTTCCACAAAAATACAGTCTCGCATCGACTTGAAATGTTAAGGCATTCACGTGTAGACAAAATTAAATCAACGATCTTGAATCGATGAATTTAATGAATCAATGATCAATGAATTTAAACACCAAGGAGGCAGATAAATTGGCAAATCCGAGGAAAAATCCGGTTTTGGTGGTAGGTTGGGCCAACATTGTCGGCCCAGCCTGGGGTCACTTTCTAAAATTAGTGGGGCGGGGACTCAGTCGAATAGGTTGACCTAGCCCATCTCCAAAGGCTGATTTCTCCCCGGATGTCGCCACTTCAAGTTGCGTCTTCAATGTTGAAATTTAACACAAACATTTTTAATAGCTCAGGGATTCAAAATTGTTTTCCTACGAGGCACTGACTTCCCATTTCAAGTTAATGTCAGCTGCCTTTTGATGACAAGCTTAGAATGGGATGCGATTCACACAAAAACGAACAACGAACAAAATCAAGAAAGGTACCTTCGGTCTAGTATACCAACAGTCAATATAATTGTTCTGGACGTATTTCGCCCAGCGTTCCCTCGTTGCTCGGTATGCATTGAGGGGACTCAGAGGGGCGTTGGGCGGTGGATCAAGTCAGGATGGGGGGGGGGGGGGGGGCTGAGCCCCGGACGGCATATATTGATTTCCATGGGCTCAAGCCCAACCAGTTTTAGAACATGGCACCCCTGAACAGGACGCACGCCGCCGCTGGCCGACATGAATGGTGTACGTGCTGTTGTGCACGGTCGGTGGTATGACGTAACGGTACTGTGCTGCCTCGTGCTGCGCGCTGGTGGTATGTGAATTGTTGCCTTTTCTGTCAGGTGTTTGTTTAATTGTTAAAATACCTGCCACAGTCGTCCAGACTGGTAGAAGCACACTAGGCCGTACTGAGAACCGGGTGTGGGGTAGATTTCGCCAAAGCGTTTTGTTCAAGGTCAGCTACGTTTTGTTCAGATGTTTTGTACCTATTCTTGTCTTAGTGATCGTTTGCCAAGCACTTGACATGAGATTCGATTCTCCGTGGCGTCCGCTTTTCTCGCCAGGGTGGGAGTCAGGTAACACCATATAGCCTCAGCAAGTGAGTGGGTGAAGTCCCCAACGGCACGTTTTTCAAGGTCCTGCGGAAAGATTCGTGTTTTAGGCAAGCGGTCTGGTATTGAATTGTTCCTGAAGTAGATCTGATACCATTGCATAACCTTTTGACAGGATAAAACGGCCGAAAAAGGCGAACTGATATCGATTTCGGTGCAGGACGCATGGTGTGTGAAATATTATTCAGTATAAAGGCTTTAGGAAAGGAAATGTTTCTGGTGTCCGAAAACTTGCTGCTCGATGTTCAGGCGAATGCAACGCTGTCGTGTAGCAATGACCTCACATAATTATATCACAAATGGGGAGGAGCATTGTCGCGGTCAAGAGAGCAGACAAATGTCGGTGGTTTTGTACAGTATATTCAGCAGTGGGCGTGGATATGTTCCCACGCGGCTTGCTGCGGCACCTGACAATGTTCTGTGTGCATATTTATACTTTGTACATTATTTGTCTGGTGGCATTTGTGGCTGACATGTGAGCGTGCGGGCAAAGTTGAGTTGCCGGAACCTGAGAGGGCGAATTTCTGCGCGGATGAACGTGCAGTACGGACGTACTGAGGAGCTGGAAGCGCATCCCATGCATGTTCGTCAAGTGAAAAATATACGACTGCACACTCCAAATATTGTTGCATTCTCCCCAGACGCCGTTAACGGCGTACACATACGGCAGACGCTGTATCAGCGGCGGCAGAACCCCTTCGGAGTTTAGGTGGATAGGAAGCAAGGGATTTTTGTCCTGTATCCTGTCAGCGTACTCACGCAACTTCCTTAAAGTTGTAGCGATGTGCCGAAACCACATCCTGACTCGTCGGTCCTTTCACCACCACAAATGATGGGTTCATCGCAGTCTGGGCGGCTGTGGTAGTTACTGGTAGTTGCCGCGCTCATTTGTGACGTCATTTACGCCAGAGCTACCATATTCAAGAAGTAAGGGGGGCCTGTGTATCTCTTTCCTTGAATGCCACTTTTGTTTTCGTTATATTCGTGGTATTCGGAGCGTCGTTGCGTTTGTGTGGTGATTGGGCACGTAGGCACTGTGTCGTTGATATGTGCGTCAAGGCGTATCTAAGGATTACAAGGGATTGTTTTCCCCGTATTATTTAGGTTTTTAATCAAGTGGCTCATTTTCTTTTGAGGTAAGGACACCCGTATCTGGCTGATTGCCAGTGGGAAAGTATGGCGCGTAAAACGTCCAATCATCCTATGCAAGTTCAAATCAGGCTGGGTTAAGTTTAAAACGGAGACGAAACGCGACTGATGCAGACTGAAAACATTGTGTTCCAGCGCTTGTTGTGAGGTATTTTTCACAAGTGTTGCTGGGGGCATTTACTTGTGACGTTCTAAAATATGTACAACAATCGTTATTTATACGTATGTCGCAAATTGTATTTTGTGCAAAATTTCACCAGTATTTTTTATGTATTTTTACTTTGGATTGTAATGCATGTTGTATGAGTGCATTCATCTCATATATCCCAGCAGAAAATTCCTTTTCAGCTGGCATATGCTTACCTTGAAAAGGATAAGCACATTTTTGCTTATTCCCAGCTGTTTTATTATCATAGCTCTATTTTTATCCTGCAACCTTTGATGTACTTAAGATATGCTGTAAGTAAGTGTATGATACATATTTTGATCTATGCCCATATTTACTATATATTAACTGTGGTGAAATGTCAAGTTAACAACAAGTCAGATACTGGTCTGTCAGCTCATTTTGTTTCCACTCAGTGCCAAATAAAAGCTCAGTGTGGTGAAGAAAGATTGTGGTGTTCTGAAAACTGTTGAAATGAGTATGCTGATATTATCAACCAGAACATACTTGATCAATGGAAGGCAAGTGTTTCATTTAGTATCTGACAGACCTTTTTCAATATGTTGCAGTCCTTTTCAGTACACTATAGAAGAAAATGGTAGCATGTATGCTAAGTGGATTGTGTCATCCAGTTCAGATGCGTAGTGATGAACTATGCACGGATGTGCTGTTTTTGATCATGTCCTATTGCCAGTTTCTCATTAACCATACTTCAGTTTAGCAAGCTTACTTCATTGGCCCATCCTATTTGGTGTTCAGTCTCTTAGATGTGGCAGAGTCATGCACACATTCATGCTATTGAGAGCCACATATCCTGGGTATGTCAGGCTAGTATAATGCAATAGAGGAGTGGAATATTTCTCATGCAGCATGTCACCCATTACAGGGTGAGCTTGCCTTGTGGAACACATTCCTTCAAATATTCAAGTTAAGGTACAGTCTACAAGCAGGCTTTTTCCTAATGCCCATGTGGAGCATGACATTGAAAGGACATTATTCCCTTCTCTTCAACATTGCAAGCTGTGCAGTTTGGTCATTAACATGGTCATGTTCAAACAGGTGATCCACTGATCTGTGAGAGAGCAGATGATTACAGCATTGTAATGCCACCTTATGATTGTGGTTTTGCCTGAACAAATGTGTAGGAGAGGTGGTGCATTTGCTGTAAGAGGTTGTTAGGTAAATATGTTAGTTCACAGCAGATGCCATGAGTCAGAAATTAGCAGCAGCCTGAGAGTTGGGATGATCAGAATACTACTGGTTTGCCTTGCTAGCTTATTGTTTCATTCACCTTTGTGAGACTGATTTTAGATCTCATGTATCCCATGCAAGTACAAAGGGCATGGGAAAGAGCAACAGTGGGATATGAGGATCTAGAGTGGGTGTCAGTTTCTAAAGAACAGGCATGAAACAATGATGGATGATAGTGTTAGGGGATGTGTCAGTCACCAAGATTTATCTGATATTTTTAATATGACCATGAGACTTATACTCTTAACCAACATAAACAACCCAGTCTTTGTGTGTCTTGAGAAATATGCCAGGCAGCCCAGTGCTGTGCAACAATGGCTGATGTGCGATGGGCTGTAAACAGTGTTCCAGACAGCGTTAGCATTTCAGCGAGCTGACATTAGTTTCTGTCACTTTTTCACCAAATGTTTCCCTTTGGTCAAAGCAGCAAAAATAACATGTTGGTAAAGCAGCATGATCAAAATATGAAGTCTTTCTGCTGGTTTTGGTGCACTGATTAGTACCTAAACTTGTACCAGAAGGTTGCTGTATATGGCTAGTATAATGTATAACTGCCATTTTTAAAACAAGCTGCAGTATATTGTTGCTCAGTCAAAGTATGGGACATTATCCTGCATTTCCTAGAACTATAACATGCTATACAGACATGAAAGAAAATGGACACATTTAGGTCTGTTCAAGTCAACAGGCATTAACTGATGCTTTCAGTTTTATACATTAGTGTATGGAAATGTCTTAGTACAGACTGATGCTGCAGCATGCTGTTATGATTTGCATATGGCTTTGATACAAGACTTTCCAAGCCCACAGGGAGACTGCTATGAAAGTCTAATTACACATATTACCCCATGTTTTCCAATGGCATCAAAGGGCAGTCAACTGGATCATGGGCTCTTCTGGATGGTGAAAGTAAAAAATTTGCATTTTTCATGTGCTGTCATGGAAAATCAGTTTTTCTGCCACAAAACAATATGCTTGATCCTCACTGGCATGTCACAGTACTTTTGCTCAAATGATGAAGCATTCCATAATCAAAACTT